GTTTGTGTGTTTGTATATATCTATGTGAGTGTGTACATGTGTGTGTGTATGTGTGTGTGTACGTGTGTGTTTGTATACATCTATGTGTGTGTATACATGTATATGAGTGTATACGTGTGTGTTTGAGTCTGTGTGTACGTGTTTGTGTGTTTGTATATATCTATGTGAGTGTGTACATGTGTGTGTGTATGTGTGTGTACGTGTGTGTTTGTATACATCTATGTGTGTGTATATATGAGTGTATACGTGTGTGTTTGAGTCAGTGTGTACGTGTTTGTGTGTTTGTATACATCTATGTGTGTGTACACATGTATATGAGTGAATACGTGTGTGTTTGAGTCTGTGTGTACGTGTTTGTATACATCTATGTGTGTGTATTTATGAGTGTATACGTGTGTGTTTGAATCTGTGTGTATGAGTGTGTGTGTACGTGTTTGTGTGTTTGTATATATCTATGTGAGCGTGTACATGTGTGAGTGTGTGTGTACGTGTGTGTTTATCTATATTTATACATCTTTGTGTGTGTGTGTGCGTTTGTGCATGTATAACACATCAAGTACATGTTGTATGTCAAGTGTCCCCTTTAAATAATCAATATCAAACATTACAATAGGTCTTTAACTGTTTGTGATCATTCCATTTTCTATGTTTAATGTGGAGTATGTTATCTGAGCATTAAGGGGTGTGTCACGCATTTCACCTGTAACGCCCAATGCTGCCACCAGGGGGACGAGTTGAATTTGACTATCTCAGTGTCTCCCAAAGTGGGGTCCGCGGCCCCCTGGTGGGCCGCGAGGGTACTGCAGGGGGGCCGCGGGAGGTCATAAAAAAAATTAAAAAAAATAATATAATTATTTAATGTTAAATTTATAACGTTTTGTTTGTAATATTAAAATATTTGTGGTCATTATTTGTCTTGAATAATCCACTGTAATCATTTTTGTATTACAATGTTTGTAGCAGAGGCTATTTCCCCAAAATAAAATAACCAGAAGAGCCTATTCTTAATGTTGTCTTCTTGGTTATTATTTTGGGGGGCCACGCAGACCCGTCAGATTTTTAAGGGGGCCTCGGTGTTACTGAGTTTGGGAATGGCTGGACTATCTATACACTCAAAAATGCTTTACAAAGAGACTAGTTCATTATACATAAACTAAAATGTTGTAAACAGCATAATAGCACGGATGGATTTACATTTGGTCCATATCTTCTTGAAAAAAAGCAATCAAAGGAGATGAAACCTTGAGAATTCTAATGGCTCTTTCTGTTATGACATTTCACCGGAGAAAGCACTGGTTGTAGAAGATAAAGCCGTAATAATCAATGTTCATTCTGAGCCCGTAAACCCAGATCCAATCAACTGTGGTCCCTGGATCTGGCAGGATTCCTGATGTTTGACATTCACCACGACAAGGCGTTAACAAATTACACCTGTTTTCTGCTTCGGGAGAATCTATACCACGTTATTACTTTGAAAACTCCTCATTTCAAGGCTGCAGGATGGATCAGAAATGGCTTAAGAGTAGAAATGCATCCGCCCACAAGCAGCTGTGTCTGTGCTCTTCAAAAACATGTCTCTGGATTCCTCTGGCGACAGGCTTCGACATGTTTTGTGAAAAGGCAGAGCATTTGAAAGTTTAATTGTATGGCACGAAAGTAGATCTGGCTTTGGAGAAAATACAACATAGTAAAGGGTCAGTTGTAAACCTGACATAGTGTTGTAATGTAGAGTAGAGTAGGGCCAAGTAGGGCCGGCAAGCTAACAGATCCATTGGTTTGTTTGCCCGTCGCTCTCTCTGTGTCTCTCTCCCTCTCTCTGTTTTATACTCTGTCTCCCTCTCTCGGTCTCTCTCTCTGTCTCGCCCTCTCTCCCACTCTATCTCTCTGTCTCTCTACTCTCACCCACTCTCTCTCTGTCTCTCTACTCACTCCCTCTCAGTCTAGCCCCTCCCTCTGTCTCTCTACTCTCTCCCTCTCTGTCTAGTCTCTCCCTCTCTCTCTCTGTCTCTCTGTTTATACTCTGTCTCTCTGGCTTTGTCTCTCTAGTCTCTGTCTCTGTCTCTCTCTGTCTCTCTACTCTTTCCCTCTCTGTCTAGTCTCTCCCTCTGTCTCTCTCTCTCTGTCTCTCTACTCTGTCCCTCTCTCATTTCTGCCTCTTATTCTCTCCTACTCTGTCTGTCTCTCTGTCTCTCTACGCTCTCCCTCTCTCCCTCTGTCTCTCTACGCTCTCCCTCTGTCTCTCTACTCTCTCCCTCTCTCTCTGTGTGTCTCTCTCGCTTTCTCTCTATTCTCTGCCTCTTTTTCTCTCCTATTCTCTGCCTGTCTCTCTCTCTCTTTGTCCCCCTACTCTATCCCTCTCTCTCTGCCCCTCCCTCTCCCCTTTTGCTCTCTCTCTCTCTCTCTCTCTCTCTCTCTCTCTCTCTTCTCCACTGTAGCTGAATGGTTACCGCTCTAACCTCTCAGCAAGAAGGTCCTGGGTTCGAGTCCTGGTGTGAACATGGCCTTTCTGTGTGGAATTTGAGTGTTCTCCCTGTGTCTCTGGATGTACCAATAAAAGACATGTCCAAGCTAAAAGATACTGACCAGGCCGAGCGCCAACATCTGGAGATAGGTCCCTGAGTCCTCTTTCATTGTATTTAGTAATATTAAAAGAAAAGTGTGATCATGCCTCGTTCAATCACTCAAACTCAGAGTCTGGCTCTAAATCCACTCTTTCATTACTTTTACTTTTTCCAGTATTTTGACTTCAAACAGAGACGTCCTCGAACTGTTTTTTTAATCCCAGCAGCAGACGCCCTCTAAGTGCTGTTCCAATCAAATCATCAACTGTCCGTTAGAACTTTCCAGGCAGTTTCCTAGAAGCAATGTCCAATATACTCGAGTACTTTTCCGCAGCAGTTCTTTTTGCAGATCATACGTACTTTGGGTTTGAAGGTCAAGTGTTTGAGTCTGTTTTTTTTTTAGCTCACACAAGTTGAGGTCTTGTGTTGTACAAACGGGAGAGAGACAGACATATACAGAGAGAGATAGACAGAGAGACAGAGAGAAGCAGACAGACAGATTGAGACAGAGAGAAAGAGACAGGTAGAGAGGGAGTGGCAGACATACAGACAGACAGACAAACATAGAGATAGAGACAGAGAGAGAAAGAGAGAGAGAAAACAGACAGACAGAGAGAGTGAGAGAGAGACAGACAGACAAACATATAGATAGACAGAGAGAGAAAGAGAGAGAGAGAGAGAAAATAACATACAGAGAGAGTGAGAGAGAGAGACAGACAGACAAACATAGAGATAGACAGAGAGAGAAAACAGACAGACAGAGAGAGTGAGAGAGAGACAGACAGACAAACATATAGATAGACAGAGAGAGAAAGACAGACAGAGGGAGTAAGAGAGAGGCAGACAGACAGAAAGAGAGAGTGAGAGAGAGAGAAAAACAGACAGACAGAGGGCATTGAAGTAGAAAAGGATAAAAGAGTCATGTGGCGTTTTTGTATGAAATATTTTTCTTTTCCTGTCGACTGGATTCACAAAATAACACCACCAACCCTTCACTCACACGACAAACTCATATGTAAGCCAAAACGTTAGAGACTGGGGCCTAGTTTTCTTTTTTATGTCTGTTGAAAAACATGGTCCCAAAAATCCAACACATAATGCCTCTTTGTGTTTCTTCTCAGGTGGTAACATAAGAGAACGTGTGAGAAATTTCAGGATTGCAGCGCACTAACAAGACGGTTGAAAGACCACACAAGGAGCATACGCAATATACAGCTATAAGTGACTGTGAGGGCTTCATAGTGAGATACTACTTTGACACCAGAGAGAGAGAAAGACCAGTGAGAGACCAGAGAGAGACCAGAGAGACGGACCAGAAAGAGGGACAAGAACGACACCAGAGAGAAAGACCCAAGAGAGATACCAGAAAGATACATGAGATGTAGTAGAGACCAGAGAAAGACCAGAGACAGAGACCAGAAAGAGAGCAGAGATAGACGGATCAGAGAAAGAAAACAGAGAGACCAGAAAGAGACATGAGACAGAGGCCAGAGAGAGACCAGAAAGAGAACAGAGAGATAGATCAGAGAGAGACCACAGAGTGAGACTAGAGAGAGACCAGAGATAGACTGAGGGAGAGACCAGAGACAGACCGAGGGAGAGACCAGAGAGAGACCAGAGATAGACCGAGGGAGAGACCAGAGAGAGACCAGAGTGTCAGGATCTGCTCCCTGCTGTCTCTCTCCCTCCCCTTCTGTGTTTGTCTTGTCTCCACCTTCCTGAGCGTGGCTACTCACCTGGCTCCACTTGCCACTCATCTCCAGCTGCATAAGAAGCCTCGTTCCCAGCAAGTCGATGCCAGTTCGTTGTCGCTTCTTGTTAGTGAAACATTTATGGTCTCTGCGCTACTATTGTGATTATTTGTTGTACTTACCCCGCTTCCTGTGCATAGATCCTGCCTGCCTGTCTGTTCCTGTCTGCCACTGCCCGCCTGCCTCTGCCTGCCTGCCCCTGCCTGCCTCTGCCTCTGTCCACATCACGTGCTTCATTGCATATTCTCCACTGTAAATAAACCCTTCTCTCGCCGATCTGTGTCTAGTCTTGGGTTCTGTTAAACCGTGACACAGAGAGAGACCAGAGATAGACCGAGGGAGAGACCAGAGAGAGACCAGAGAGAGATATGAGACGGAGACCAGAGACAGAAATCAGAGAGCGAAATCCTCGACATACTGCATGCTGCTTCTCCTCAGTATTACCAATATGGCTGTTGTTTTTCAGTGCCTCCACTCTCACAAATCACACAAAAACATCTATACTCAGTGCAATCTTTTGTGACGTATGCAGCAAAATGAGATAGCGTGTGGAGCGGCTTCACCTCAGAGAGCAGAGGCGTAATGATAATGACAAACACCATGATTACAGGAGGGGGGGGGAGGAGGTGGAGGAGGAGGAGGAGGTGGAGATGGAGGGGGTCTGACGGCGGCCATGTTGCGCCTGTACCTCCAGCGGCGCGGCCTTGGCCCTGCAGGTATTCTTGGCGGTCTCATCCGAAGCCGCTGGGATCTGTGGGAGGAGAGGGCAAGAAGAGAGTGCTTAGTCATTTCACACACGCTGCAGAGTTTTTCCACGACTGTAGCAGACGTGGGGAGAGGAACGAGACCGTGGGGAGGGGAACGAGACCGTGGGGAGGGGAACGAGACCGTGGGGGGAGGAACGAGACCGTGGGATTGTTTGAGAAAGACGAGGGAAGCTTTCATTGTGTCTGTGGACAATACTGATGTCTCTTGAATTTGAATTATCATCAGTGTGCTCACCAACCACCTCACTGCACAGCTGAGGTCTGTCTCAGGACTCTCTATGGTCCCTTTCTGGTCTCTCTCTCTTGTGTCTCTCTTGTCTCTCTCTAGTCTCTCTCTAGTCTCTCTCTAGTCTCTCTCTAGTCTCTCTCTAGTCCCTCTCTAGTCTCTCTCTGGCCTCTCTCTAGTCTCTCTCTGGTCTCTCTCTCTCGCTTGTGTCTCTGGTCTCTCTCTGGCATCTCTCTAGTCTCTCACTGGTCTCTCTCTTGTGTCTCTCTGGTCTCTCACTGGTCTCTCTCTTGTGTCTCTCTGGTCTCTCTCTCGTTTCTCTCTGGCCTCTCTCTCTCTCTTATGTCTCTCTAGTCTCTCTCTGGTCTCTCACTGGTCTCTCTGGTCTCTCTCTCTCTAGTCTCTCACTGGTGTCTCTCTGGTCTCTCTCTCTTGCTTGTGTCTCTCTTGTCTCTCTCTGGTCTCTCTCTGGTCTCTCTCTTGTGTCTCTCTGGTCTCTCTCTGGCATCTCTCTAGTCTTTCTCTGGTCTCTCTCTCCAGTCTCGCTCTAGTCTCTCTCTCTGGCCTCTCTCTAGTCTCTCTCTGGTCTTTCTCTGGCCTCTCTCTCTCTCTTATGTCTCTCTGGTCCTTCTCTCGCATCTCTCTAGTCTCTCTCTGGTCTCTCACTGGTCTCTCTCTGGTCTCTCTCTCTTAGGTCTCTCTGGTCTCTCTCTGGCATCTCTCTAGTCTTTCTCTGGTCTCTCTCTCTAGTCTTTCTCTAGTCTCTCTCTCTGGTCTGTCTCTGGTCTCTTTCTAGGCTCTCTCTCTGGTTTCTCTCTCTACCTCTCTATCTAAAGGGTAACATTGTGGTTCGTTATAATTCTTTGGGCTGTGAACAAGCCACAGGAAACTAAGAGAGGTTCTTCTTGTTTTGAAGCCTTGGCCATGTTTTAGAATCTCACCCTCGTTTTTCTCAGGGCATATTTCAAAACGTATTCCTCAAACTAAATGACTGGAGCAGAATGACTGTTGCTTTCACCACAGTCACATTATAGAGAGAGAGAGAGAGTGAGAGAGAAAGAGAGAGACCTCCTCTGCCTATACCCGCCTCTACATAAACACATGTATCCCTTTTACCTTTTTTTTCTCTGGACTATTTCAAAACACATTCCTCAAACTAAATGACCGGAGCAGAATGAGTGTTGTTTATTTCTACACATCATTCCACATTATTGTGCTTCTGTTGTTCTTTCTCTGTGCTCTATTCTACAGAGAGAGAGCGACAAAAACAGGGAGAGACAGGCAGATAGAGAGAGAGAAACACAGAGAGAGAGAGGGGTGGAGAGTGAGGGAGAGACAGGCAGAGAGAGAAGAGAGAGAGGGACAGACAGAGAGAGACAGAGAAAGATGTAGAGAGAGACAGAGAGAGACGCAGAGAGAGAGACAGAGAGAGAGAGAGAGAGACGCAAAGAGAAAGACGCAGAGCAACAGAGAGAGAGAGACAGAGAGAGAGAGAGACGCAGAGTGAGAGACACAGAGAGAGAGAGAGAGAGACGCAAAGAGAAAGACGCAGAGCGACAGAGAGAGAGACGCAGAGAGAGAGAGAGACGCAGAGAGAGACAGAGAGAGAGACAGAGAGAGAGACACAGAGAGAGAGAGACACGCAGAGAGAGACAGAGAGAGAGACAGAGAGAGAGAGAGACACAGAGAGAGAGCTCTGCCTCTGCTTTTCTACCAGTCTGTTCTGCCATGTTAAAAGTTCACCCTCGTCTTCCTTCGGACTAAATGATGAACGAACACATTCCTCAAACTAAATGACTGTTGTTTAACCACATTTCTCTACATATGTTTCTGTGTTTCTATTGTTGTGTTTCTGTCGTTGTGTTTCTGTCGTTGTGTTTCTGTTGTGGTGTTTCAGTTGTCGTGGCCTATGCAGCGGCATCGGTGTATACAGCTTGCATAAATCGAGTTATGGGAGCAGCAGCAGCAGCATCAGCAGTAGTAGCAGCAGGTCTTCACATCACACTTGGCCTCTTCGTATTAAGTACAGCACACCAGCCTCCTGCTCCAGGCCTGCAGCTACAGATACATAAGCTACACTGCGCTCCCACTATTATGAATAATAATGTGGATTTATCGTTTGGTGTGATTTTCATGATTACAAGGAGAGTGTGGGATAAGCATTAGCCACAAGGATAATGTTTTAAAGCAGGTTAGAGCAGGTTAGAGCATGTTAGAGCAGGTTAGAGCGGGTTAGAGCATGTTAGAGCAGGTTAGAGCAGGTTAGAGCATGTTAGATCATGTTAGATCATGTTAGATCATGTTAGATCATGTTAGATCATGTTAGATCATGTTAGAGCAGGTTAGAGCAGGTTAGAGCATGTTAGAGCATGTTAGAGCATGTTAGAGCATGTTAGAGCAGTTTAGAGCAGGTTAGAGCAGGTTAGAGCAGGTTAGAGCATGTTAGAGCATGTTAGAGCAGGTTAGAGCAGGTTAGAGCAGGTTAGAGCAGGTTCGAGCATGTTAGAACAGGTTAGAGCAGGTTAGAGCAGGTTAGAGCATGTTAGAGCAGGTTAGAGCAGGTTAGAGCAGGTTAGATCAATGTAGATCATGTTTAGAGCAGGTTAGAGCAGGTTAGAGCATGTTAGAGTATGTTAGAGCATGTTAGAGCATGTTAGAGCATGTTAGAGCATGTTAGAGCAGGTTAGAGCAGGTTAGAGCATGTTAGAGCAGGTTAGAGCAGGTTAGAGCAGGTTAGAGCAGGTTAGAGCATGTTAGAGCATGTTAGAGCATGTTAGAGCATGTTAGAGCATGTTAGAGCATGTTAGAGCAGTTTAGAGCAGGTTAGAGCATGTTAGAGCAGGTTAGAGCAGGTTAGAGCATGTTAGAGCATGTTAGATCATGTTAGAGCAGGTTAGAGCATGTTAGAGCAGGTTAGAACAGGTTAGAGCAGTTTAGAACATGTTAGAGCATGTTAGAGCATGTTAGAGCATGTTAGAGCAGGTTAGAGCAGGTTAGAGCATGTTAGAGCAGGTTAGAGCAGGTTAGAGCAGGTTAGAGCATGTTAGAGCATGTTAGAGCATGTTAGAGCAGGTTAGAGCAGTTTAGAGCAGGTTAGAGCATGTTAGAGCAGGTTAGAGCATGTTAGAGCATGTTAGATCATGTTAGAGCAGGTTAGAGCATGTTAGAGCAGGTTAGAACAGGTTAGAGCAGTTTAGAGCAGGTTAGAGCATGTTAGAGCATGTTAGAGCATGTTAGAGCAGGTTAGAGCAGGTTAGATTATGTTAGAGCAGGTTAGAGCAGGTTAGAGCATGTTAGAGCATGTTAGAGCATGTTAGAGTAGGTCAGAGCAGGTTAGAGCATGTTAGAGCATGTTAGAGCAGGTTAGAGCAGGTTAGAGCAGGTTAGAGCATGTTAGAGCAGGTTAGAGCAGGTTAGAGCAGGTTAGAGCAGGAGTGACATCACAGGGAGACTAAAGTACAATCTCACCGGCTGCATTAGCATCATTAAGGAAGTTTGTGACACAACCAAAAATTAGCTTGGTAAAAATATTAAAAAATAAAGTCAACGACTGAATCCCTGAGGTTTTGGGCTTTTGAGCGAGTTACAACATGTCTGTAGCGGCTGAGCTGAAGTTGGATGGATGACACAGTAAACTTTTGTTTATGATCTTGGAGACTATTTTGGGTTAGCAAGGCAGAGGGCCACATGCTATGACACTGAGGGTCGCAGTTGGCCCCCGGGCCTGAGTTTGGACATGCCTGGTCTAAAACTGTATACAGAATTTGCATGTGAAGCAATCAAAAAATACATATAGGTCACTGCAAAAAGTCGTTCAAAATAAATAAAAAATTGCTAAAATTTGGTAAAATGTACCTTGATTTGAGCACATTCGGACTGAGCCTAAAAACAAGATTCACAAATGGGACAATGATCAAAAGGATCTTGTTTTAAAAAGATACAGAAAAGCCAAAAAGTTGTTTACTTCCTGTCTGTGCTAGCGCTATGGCTTTGGGGTGAGTGTTAAGGTGCGTTCAGCCCGGGCTTAACTTCCTCTTCAAAAGCGTCAGGTTTGCATTGAAAGTGAACGGTGAAGCGCATCAAAAGCTTCAAAACCTGCAAGCATTACGCGCGTCACTTGAAGCTTTTGATGCGTGTAACGCTCGCGTCTCTTTCGGCGTCAAAAAATCCCTTGACGCTGAAGTTGAGAAAAGCTGAGCTTTTGGAGCTTGACACGGGCTTCAACCAATCAGGAGACGAGGAGCAGCAGCTGCAGGTCTGTCTCTGTCATGGAAAGAAGTCATGTGGCTGCTGCGGCTGCTGTTTTATTGTCATTATTGCTATTAGCAAAATTTGTATGAGTAGTAACGTAATTACTGAGTAACAAAATCAACGTACACATGCTGTGAAGTAAAAGTCATTCATTTAATATAAGAACAAGCTGACGATGAGTCTGGCTCAGAGCGAGAGCGAGGCTAGCTCCAGGCGGGAACGAGGCTCCAGGCGGGAACGAGGCTCCAGGCGGGAACGAGGCTCCAGGCGGGAACGAGGCTCCAGGCGGGAACGAGGCTCCAGGCGGGCGGGCGAGAGGCGAGCAAGAGGTGGGCGAGAGGCGAGCTCCAGGCGGGCGAGAGGCGAGCTCCAGGCGGGAACGAGGCTCCAGGCGGGAACGAGGCTCCAGGCGGGAACGAGGCTCCAGGCGGGAACGAGGCTCCAGGCGGGCGGGCGAGAGGCGAGCAAGAGGTGGGCGAGAGGCGAGCTCCAGGCGGGCGAGAGGCGAGCTCCAGGCGGGCGAGAGGCGAGCTCCAGGCGGGGAGAGGCGAGCGAGAGAGGTGGGCGAGAGGCGAGCTCCAGGCGGGCGAGCTCCAGGCGGGCGAGCTCCAGGCGGGCGAGCTCCAGGCGGGCGAGCTCCAGGCGGGCGAGCTCCAGGCGGGCGAGCTCCAGGCGGGCGAGAGGCGAGCTCCAGGCGGGCGAGCTCCAGGCGGGCGAGAGGCGAGCTCCAGGCGGGCGAGAGGCGAGCTCCAGGCGGGCGAGAGGCGAGCTCCAGGCGGGGAGAGGCGAGCTCCAGGCGGGCGAGCTCCAGGCGGGCGAGCTCCAGGCGGGCGAGCTCCAGGCGGGCGAGCTCCAGGCGGGCAAGCCTCCAGGCGGGCGAGCTCCAGGCGGGCGAGCTCCAGGCGGGCGAGCTCCAGGCGGGCGAGAGGCGAGCTCCAGGCGGGGAGAAAGCTGAAAGCAAAACTCCTTCGTACACAGCTCCTGGAGTAAATGACGGAACTCTGCAAACACTGCAGCCTTTCAAGTCTGTGGTGAACCCAGAACATGTTTTGTAGAAACCCTACGACAAAGTTGTTTGGCTTTAAATAACAAATAAAGGCTCGCTGCTCTCTGGAAAATCCATCGTTGTCTTGACTACCGGAAACAGAGAAGCTCCTCCCACCGGCGTCAGGCGCGTCACTCACGTCAAGCTTCAAGCACCAAAATGACAAAAAAAATAACCCGCCGTCAATTGACGCGCGTCAAAAGCGTTTAAGCTTTTGGTCTGAATGCGCCTTTAGTGACGTTTTCTAGCTGAGACTGACCCAAAAGTGTGGACGTGCTTTCTCTCTGAGGAAGAGCTTTGACTGTGGCCTCTCAGAGAGATTAGTTAACTTTATAAAAAGACAATGACGGCACAATCAAAGTGCACTGCTGTGTCCCACAATGCACTGCATCCTCACAGTTTAATTCCTGTTCTGCATTATTTAGGAAACTTGTGTGAGCATCATCTTCAGTGAAACTCAAGCCGATCCCCGCGCACCGGAAGTGAAGTGCCGTGAAGTAAAACGCGGGAGTGGTGCGTGCATAGTGCCCATAAGACTATATGACCTTGTCCCATCCGAGAATCTTGTTCTAAAACTGCCACAATGTCTCAGATTAAGAAAAAAAAAAACTCTTGATACAAGCAAAAATTACCTCTTTATTTATAATTTTTTGAGTTTGACTCAATTTTAAGCATTTACGACCTCATGTTTTGGTCATTTTTTCCAATAGAGTTGATTTGAAAAAGCATTTATGGTTTTCCATCACCGGTTATCCGTGACAAACTAATCTACTCGATGGGTTGTTGGGATCAGCAGAAAAGCAATCATGGCCCATCACTCGGCGCTGACGGTCGCCGCGGTGACAGTGAAATGCAGAATCTTAATTGGAGGATCGATTCCTGACGTCGCCTGCGTCCGAGCGACAGGAACAGACGGTCGTTCATCTCTTCAGCTTTTAAAGTTACACAAGTTTGATAATCGAGGACGCTACACGAGGAGATTGACAGTTTACACCGTCGTTATTGATATTTTCCGGTGTCATTTATAAACTCTGAGTAGTTATTTTAGGCGATAAAGTCCCAAGGCTTCAGAGACATTTCTGACGAAGGCACGGATCCAGATCATAAGTTTTAAACCACTCTTAGGTCTCTCTCTGGTGTCTCTCTGGTGTCTCTCTGGTGTCTCTCTGGTCTCTCTCTGGTCTCTCTCTGGTCTCTCTCTGGTCTCTCTCTGGTCTCTCTCTGGTCTCTCTCTGTCATTTCTCTGGTCGCCCTCTCGGTCCTCTCACTTTGTTCTGTCTATATGGTCTCTCTATCTGATCTCTGTCTATATTCAATTCAATTCAATACATTCTATTTTAGCCCTAAAACCACAATGGCGTCAGTCTCGGAGGACTTTATAAAGTTGTCGATTCACCAACAACAGATCAGAGACTCAAACTCTGAAAATACGTTAATAACAAACACATACAAGGGTGGCAGTGGCTCCGTTGGTAGACCATTGGCCTTATGGGCCTAAAGGTCATGGGTTCGAACCCTCCACAAGACCTACTCCAACTGCTCCCACTGATGTCTGCTGTCGTTATGTCCTTGGGCAAGACACCTAACCCCACATTGACGTAGCAGCCATCTTCCTGGGGACTCACCACCTGCCGGATGATCAGTGAGAGACTGGTGCTATGATAATTGAGTGGCAGCTCTGTTTTTAACTTCCTGACCCAGAAATGGATTAATAAAGGGGTAGAAAATGAATGAATGAAACACAGTGGTCCAGAGGGAGCTGCATGACCAATACCCAGACATGTAAATAAATATCCTGGATCATTACTGTTCTCAGACACTTCTGCATCAACAAGGAACACTGTAACACATTTATGTAAAATTACAATGAAATTTCAACATTAAACAAATGTTATTTTGAAAAACAATTGAAACATGAAAATTTAAGTACAAATTGGATTAAAAAAAACATCCAGGCACGTTTTATTACCACAATTATAATGTGATCACAAACATTTTTTACAATACCATAAAATCACATGTGATTACTGTAATTTAACATCAACTTTTTTTTGGAATGCTGGGACATTTTTACTATCAAGCAACCATGAGCGTAAGAGGTTCTAGCGTTAAGCATGTTGTAGAGGTAAAGATTTCAACTACTTTCTCGTATAAACTGAAGATGTTAAAAAATAAATGAAAAGTTATGTTCGTTAAAGGGAAACAAAATTACACTGTGTCGTTTTTTGTTCAAAGAAACTAATTAGAAACAGAAACATATGGTGCATTAACATTATATAAAAGTTTTTGTTGCATGTGAATGAACAGGAACAGTTAAATCCTGAAATCACAAATGC